AGATCCATTTTGTAAGAAGTGCAGCCAGAGTGTTCCTTGGAGGGCAAGATGGCTAAACTTCATCTCTTATACTTTAGAAATATTGTTAGAAGGGATCAGGATTGTTGTTATGAATGAGACCATTGCTACTGCCATTCTGTTAATCCATGACATTTGGGCCTTCTTCTTTTTTGCTGGCCCACCACTTTATTGCAAAAGCTGGACAGTGAATAAGGAAGACCTTAGAAGAATTGATGCTTTTGAGTTATGGTGTTGGGGGAGAATATTGAAAGTGCCGTGGGTTGCCAAAAGAACCAAGAGATCCATTTTGGAAGAAGTGAAGCCAGAGTGCTCCTTGGAGGCCAAGATGACCAAACTTCGTCTCTCATTCTTTGGACATATTGTCAGGAGGGAACAGTCACTGGAGAAGGATATCATGTTTGGTAAGGTGGAGGGTCAGAGAAGGAGAGGAAGATCCCCAGCAAGATGGATTGGCCAAGTGGCAGCATTGATGGACTCAAGTGTGGCAAAAGTAGTGAGGTTGGCCCAGGATCGGGCAGTGTTCCATTCGGCTGTGCATAAGGTCACTCCAAGTTTGTACCGACATGATGAAACCTAACAACAACAACCACCACTTTAATAAGCATGATGTCATTCTCCAAGAATAGGTCCCTCCTGATAAAATGTCCAAAGTATACAGTCTCACCATCTTGGCTTCTAAAGTGTACTCTTGATGTACTTCTAACAAAGACTAGTTTGTTCATCTGGCATCCAGTGGTTCTTTTCCAACATCACAATGGAAATGCTTCAGTACTTTTACAGTCTTCCTTATTCATTTCCAACTTTTGAGGATATATGAGATGATGGAAATACATGACATGGGTCAGCTGGATCTTATTCCTCAAACTATTACCTTTGCTATTGAATCCTTTATAGAGGTCTTGAGCAGCAGATTTGCCTAGTACAGTATGCCATTTGATTTCTTGACTGTTGTGTCCATGAGTGTTGATGTTGGCTCCAAGTATAATGAAGTCTTGGGTAACTTCAATCTTTTAACAATTCATCATGATGTTATTTATTGGTCCAGCTGTGAGGATTTTTATTTTCTTTACATTGAGTTGAAACTTGTACTGAAGGCTATGATATTTGATCTTCAGCAGTAAGTATTTTAAGTCCTCTTCACTTCCAGTGAGCAAAGTTGTAT